TTTCCCTTTCACATTCTCGGAACGGACAGAGACATCGTTCTCTTCGGTCTCCGTTCACGGCCTTCGAGCGGCGATTCGCTGTCGAATCTGGATTTAAATTGCTTCGATTCATTTGACGTGGACACACCAACAGAGTGATTCGCTGAAACATTTTTTGCCGAGGATCCACAGGATATCTCCGAGTATTCGTTCGAACGAGAGATTACTCGTTTCTTGTTTGTTTGTTTTTTTTTTTTTTTTTTTTTTTTTTTTTTTTTTTTTTTGGTTCATTTCATCGTGGATCCTTTAGCTCTTCGGTAAACTCTAATGGATTTCGAACAAACTGATACACGTTTGGCGATCGAAAATTCGATCGAATTCAGAAAAAAAATTCGGGAAACAGAGGATTGTAATTGTAACTTCCCCGAGTATTCAAATCACGGACTCTGATTGTACAGTAAATCCTTGATGAATGTTCGGAGGCTCCTTGACACTGAATATTATATGTTTCATAAACTAGTGGCTGTATGCGATTGAAAGAAATACCATTGGCTTCAGAATTCCAAGGCCTATCGCTGCGTTAAACCTGATTGATCCTTTGGATATCGATTTACTTGAACAAAATGTTGTATATGGAATAAATGTGATTTTTCTTTTTTTTTTTGCAATTAATTCAAACTACTCTGAAATGAACAAGAATGTACATATTAAATATTGTGTCGACTTAGGAGACATCTCCTTGTCAGTGCTGACGATTCTTCGAGCACTCATCGATGATTTACTGTATATACGTACTGTCCAAGTTGCCGTCAAGTGAAATTGGAGCAGTCGAGGTCCTGTCGCGAATGTTTCCTCGAAAACGAACGTTCAGCGTTCCTTTTCGCTGAAGACGAAATATGGGATACATATATATCGGTATTTCCTTCGATTCTCCGCTATCTGTTCTCACCCCTCCGCCAAACGTCCATTCGCCGTGTCATATTTCACTAAATCGCGTAAGGTGTTTCACGCGTTTGCCTGCGTGCGTGATCGCTGCGAGCCCAACGAAGCCAACAACTCTCGGCTTGAAAAGTTTTTTTTCTTTCCACGTGATGGGCGAAAAAACGTTCGCGTTCGATCCTCATGCCACCTTCTCCATTCACGAATTACGAATCGTTAATGGGGGCTCTCGAAGGTGTCCGGAGCGATGCGTCCGGAAGGGAAATCCACGCTTCTCGCCGGAAAACTTTCGGGAGCCATTAAGAGAATCGTTGATATTACACTTGCCCGATGGGAGTTATAAAACTCTTCCTGGCTCCTCCCCATCACTGGAATCGTTTTGCATCTTCCCGTCGCAAGTTGTCTGCGAGTGCAAAA